GGCAAGGCTGCCCCCCCCCCCCCCGCCCTGGGGAATAGGAGGGAATACACCGGAAATACCAGGCTTCCTTTGGGGAAAAAAGAGTCCTGCTCCCAACAAACCAGGGCGTGTGGAGGCCACCCAGGCTCCCTGAGAGGTGACCAGGAGAAGACCAGCCCCGCTCTGGCAGGGGGCGCTCCTGAACCTGGGTCTCCTGGGTCTGCAGCCCTGAGCAGGGCTAAGGCCACTGGGCAGCCATACCTGGTGGGCAGCAGGGTCAGCCAGGAGCTGGGTGGTGGGAAGAGTGAGGGGGGCCTTCCTGGGCAGAGGCAGGCTCCTGCCGGGACCCCAGTCCTGGGGGCCACTGGAAAGCCCCCAGTAGCCACTTCTCACACAAGAGCCGAATGAACTCAGAGGTATGGGATGGACGCTGTAGGCAGGGGCTGAAGGCAGCCATGGTCAGGCACCAGGGGGCGCCGGCGAGCCTCGAGGCTCCACGTGGGGAGGATTGGACCTAGGGAGGGAGCCCTAGGGAGGGAGCCCTAGGGAGGGAGCCCTAGGGAAGGAGGCCCCCGACTCACTTCCACAGCACCTCCAACTGCAGCTTGATGGTGCCCAGCTCTGTGATGTCCACCACGACCACCTGCGGCCGCGTCGTGAAGAAGTCCGCGATGTCGCACGTTACGGCGCCCACGGCCAGTGAGCTCAGGCCCCGCAGCTCTGTCACCTGGGGAGGGCTGAAGGGTGGTGTCTGAGCCCAGCACCGGCGCCCGCCCGCCGCTCCCCGCCCTCACCTTGATGTCCAGGTTCTCGTGCAGGGTGGGAATGAAGGCCTTCTCCTCCTCATCCCAGGTCTGGCTGTCATCAGACTCGATCCTGCCCTTCAGCCTCCAGCGCTGGCGGCCCAGGCGCATGAGCACCTGTGGGCGGGTGAGGACGGTGTGTTGGCAGCCCGGGCAGGAGTCCCCTGTGCACCTGCTCCAGCCTCCCTGCTGGACAGAACCCCAGCTGGGGCCCTGGTTCCCAACAGTGCCACCCCCACGACCCAGGAGGGAGGCCCTACCTCATACTGGTCTCCGGGACAGAGGCGCGCGTAGCCCACCAGGCCTGAAACACAGAGCCGGGGAGTGTCCCTCCTCTGCCCAGCACTGGCCCTCCCTGGGGCCCTCCCCACTGGACACCGGGCTAGCGGGTGACTGGCCTCAGCCCCAGCGGGCTGGATGTGCCAGGGTCACATGCCACAAGAGGGCAAAAGCCAGGACTGGGCCCGGACCCCTGAGATTCTGAGGCTACCCTCAGCAGGAGTCTCCGCCCCCCCAGACAGCCGCGGCACCCCTCAGCCCTGTCACCTCTCATCCTGACGTGGAACTCGCCCAGGTGAACCTCCAGCGCCCCCTCGATGAGCCACATGTCCTGCGAAGGCCCAGGAGGTGGCTCAGCCCCATCCTGGGACCCGCCCCCTCCCCTGATCCCCAGCAGAGGGCAGAAGGAGCCCCTCAGGGCCCGGAGCCCAGCAGACCTCCGTGCACTCGTGCAGGCTGCGGCCCAGCTCCTGCAGGCTCTCCCGGGAGGCGCGGCTGGGCGGGCCCCTGGAGAAGGCCCGCTGCATGTTGGAGGCCCCGTCCCGCAGGCGGCACTGGACGCAGTAGCCCTCGTATAGCTCATCCACCTGTGGGGGCACCAGCTGGTGGGCACTGGCCCAGGGCGGCCCACACCCGCCTACCTCTCCCTCCAGGAAAGGTCCCTGAGCTGTTGGCTGGGTCTCCCCCATGCAAAGGGCAGAGACCACGCCTCTTGTCCACATGTCACCCTGTGCCTGGCTGCACCTGGCGCCCGGTGGGCACGCCATAACCAGTGAATGTGGGACCAGCAGGTGGCTCATGGTTACTTGCTAGACTCCCACGTGTTGACCACGGTTCAAGTCTCAGACTGGGCGGCTTAAACTCACCCTGGGTGCGCGTGCATGCGTGCCCAAGATCCTGAGAAGAGACTAGAGGAGAAGGGATTGTGGCGTGGCCATCCCCCAGGGGTGATTTCTCACTTTCTGTCTCTCTGTCTCTCTCTCTGTCTCTCTGGCAAGAGCAAGCACCCTATACCAAAAATCTCTCTAAAAAAAAAAACAACCAAACAAAAACAAAAACTAGTGAACCGTCACTTCCGCTCTCAAGTCTGCGTTGGCGACCATCGAGCAGGGCAGGTGGCCTCGTGGCACCCTGCCCCCACGCTGGCTACCGGGAGTCCAGCAGGACCACGGACGGCTTTGCAGACTACAGAACTTAAGGGAGCTGCTGTGGGACCTGGGCCAGTCCCTCTCCCTCTCTGGCCCCTGCTTTCCCATCTGAACAACCGGGTGGTTGGACCCAACCTCCCCAGGCCACTAAGGCTGAGATGAAGGTTTTCTCTATAAACCAAGGGGAGAGCCCACACAGTTCTGGGGGGCTAGGCCAGCTCCTCAATTCTCATCTCAGGGCGGAGCCCCTGTAGTCCTTCAATTCACCCAAGGCCAGCAGTCACCGCCACCTCCCTGACCCCGCTCATCCTCTGCTGCCTCCACTGTCTCCGCTGTCCCTGCAGCAACAGCCTTCCTCCCTCCCGGCTCAGGGGCAGCCGACCGGCTCCTGCTGACCCCGCTGAGGCCCACCCAGCAAGCCCCGCACCAGCTGACCTTGCTGATGTGAAACTCCATCTTCCGAATGTGCCTCTCCACAGAGCGTGTTTGCTGCTCCCAGAAAAAGAAACGCTTCTTTAAATCAGCCCTGGGCCACCCGCCAGCCCCCAGAAAGGTCATCACTGAGCCTGTCTTCCTACTCGTACGACAGGGCGGAAGCCCAGGTCCTGGTCTGCAGGGCAGCTGGGAAGACGGGGTGCAGTGCAGGCGTGCCTCACCCAGCCAGGCCCAGCCCACCCCGTTTACCGAATGCAGGTGGGCAGGCCTCACTTACTTTGTCCAGGTCATAATAGAACGCCTGTGGGAGAGAAGGAGGGGGAGACGGTGTCAGGGTCCCGGGCCTCCTGCAAGGCCTCTAGGCTACTTCTCAGGGGCCTCCGAGTTCAGAGCCAGAGGACCCAAAGCCAGTGTCGGGCTGGCCGTGGTTAAGGAGTCAGGTCCCGCATGGCTCACCACGGTTGATTCCAGCCCTGGTGGCTTGTAAAACACACCAGGCACACATGTGTGCAAACCCTGAGGTGGAGAAACAGAGAAGGGATTGTGGTGTGACTACCCCGCCCTGGGGGCTCGCTCCAGCACATGCTTCCAGCAGTTACTTAAAAAAAACCGTAAAGTGTCTGAAGCCCCGAGCCCCGTCCTCTGAGCCAAGGAGAGAGTGGACATCGCACGATCGTGGATGAGGCGGCCCAGAACTGGCTCTGCTGTGTGTCCCCGCAAGTCGCCCAGCCCCTCTGAGCCTGTAGCCACAGCACCGACAGAGGGCTGCCATGAGGACACCACAAGGCGTTCTTGGCAAAATGGGAGCATGTCATCGCTCGTTTAGGGATGACTCCAGTCACGACCAGAACTGGGCGTGGGACTTGGCACGGCACATGGCCCCCCCCCCCGAGGTCAAGCCTGAGTCCCGTGTCCATCCCTGCTGGGGCACAGCCAACACAAAGAGTTCCTGGGCAGGGCAGGCGACCCTGTGGAGGGCTGATTGTAACCCTTCCTTTCCTTTAGCGAAGAGAGACAGGGAGCACGAGGGAAGGGAGATTGGCGGCATTTCTGATGGGACCATGCACCGTTGCCACCCTCCTGCCCTGATTATAGGCGTGTGCAACTGCACCGGGGGCGGTCGGTTAGCTGGACACTGAACCTGGGCCTCCCTGTGGCTTCCAGCCTACCCAGCGGTGGGGCCAGCCGAGTAGGTATGCCATGTCACCTCTGCGCTGGTGGTGACTACACGTCTCTGTCATGGTGGTGACTACACGTCTCTGTCATGGTAGTGACTACATGTCTCTGTCATGGTGGTGACTACACGGCTCTGTCATGGTGGTGTACAAACAGCTCAGCCAACAGGTGTTCAGAGTGGTCAGCAAACTCGATGACAGAAACAGACGCAGGCTGTCGCTGGCCCGCGCTGGGCAGTCACTGTGTCCGAGCCTGCGGGGGCTTCCTGAGGCTGGACACACCCACGGGACAGAAGAGTGGGGTGCGGAGGACAGGATGTGTACTGTGATGCAAGTCATGCTCTGCAACGACTGGCCAGACCTTTGTTCTTCTTTTTTTTTTTTTTTTTTTTTTTTTTTTTTTTGGTTTTTTTTTTAGGGGCTGTTGGCTTTCCAAAATGGAAAATGAGAAATCGCCCCCAGGGGGGATGGCCACGCTGCAATCCCTTCTCTTCCATTCTCCTCTCAGGATCTTGGGCATGCACACATATGCGCCCGGCATGAGTTTAAGCCACCGGGTCCGGGACTTGAACCGCGGTTGACTGGTCCCCCGACCAAACCTTTATATGCGGTTACCTGATTATGTGAGCAGGGAGAAAAATGTGGAGAGGCAAACTGGAAGTTGTCATCAAGGGTTAAACAGGATGGGCCAGAGATCAGGCGATAGAAAGGAAGAGGGGAATTAAACTTCCCTAAAAAGCTGTTTTCCCTTGTACATTTAAAAAAAAAAAAAAGAAAGCCAGAAGGCACAGAGAGACAGAAAGAGGGAGAGGGAGGAAGCACCATGATCCCTTCTCCCCCGTTTCTCCATCTTTTCAGGATTCGGGTGCACACACATGTGCCTGATCTGTTTCACAAGCCACCACGGCCAAGATTCGAACTGCAGTTGACCATGTGGGATCCAGTTCCCTTAACCTCAACTACAAGGGCCAGCCCAAAATCAAACTTCATTGAAGAAATAAAGAAATAGGCGTGGTGGTTCAGTAAAACGTGACATTCCAGGACCGGCCCACAAGGGAAGGTTCTAGGTTGGGCTGGAAAGGTCCCTGAGAAACACGTGTGTGCCCTGCCCTGGGGCCAGCTGGCGGGGGGGGGGGGGGGG